ACCACAGACTTGTATTTCAGGGCTGAAAACAGCACTCTTTCAGTAGGATAAGTTTCAATCCTTTTTGCGGTCAGGTACATTTCTTATAGGACATCAAGTCTTCAATAATAGTTTGCAAAAATGGTGCGCTTTAAGTGTTTAAGGCAAATTAAAAAATATTAAAAACTGAAAATTGGGCTTGTTTAACACTGTCATTTCACTCCTAGCACTCAGCCATAATCAAGCCTTCCACATGATAGACCGGTAAATTGAAGGAAACTTGGACATGGTTTTGTATCTGTTGTTTTTGTTAGTAATCCTTTCCACATTTTCTTCTCCAAATGGATCCGGGCATGATTATCTGTAGTATTTAATAGGTCAAGCGAAAACTTTCTAAGCATTTATTGGATGTGGAGACCAAATGCGAATCTGTCAGTTTCCCTGGTAAGACAGCAACCGTGCCAAAATTGAAGTCTGATTCTTTTACGTCACTCAGTGAAGCGTTTGTTTTGGGCATTTGAACTGTTGAAAGTATACTCGATTTTGACATTAACGGGACCATAAATAAGTACCTTTATCCTGACCTTAGTATCCTAACCCTGCACACTCCAGGAAGAAAATTATGCTAGACGATCGGCACAATTTTATCTTATAAAATCGTGAATCATCTGCGAACAACCTTTTCTAGATTTCCTCTCGTCACACATTTACTTCAGTTTAGGTACATTGTTAGACATTCTAGTTTTGCTAACCACCTTAATGAGCCTTCAGTTTGAACAGTACTCTGGTGTGTAAAGAGGGGTACTTAGGAGATGCAACCAACTATTAAAAAGTATGGATTAAATATGAATGAATATAATAATTAGCTTTTAATTTTCGGTTAGATACAAGAATATGGACCCTGGCGAAACACATGGCCCTGAGCCGAAGTGCAAAGGGGCTTATTACCCTTCCCTAACTTCATTCCTAGAGATGATACTAGCAGTAAATCTAAAAATCATCCCCAAAACCCTAACCGCCTTAATCCCACCTCTCTCGGAGTTTACTGCAAGGCTGCCTGGAATACGGGGACCCCAGTTTTATTTCATCAGACATCAGTGCACGAGTTTTGGAAAAATTTGCGACATTCATCCTAGGTTAAGTCTCAGCTTTACGATGAAAATTTGAGCTGACAATGCAATACTTAGAATTGTTCAAGGGAAACCAATAGTACATAAGAATAGCCTGATGAACAGTGCTCACAGCATGAGTAATAGCTGCAAACTCAGAAATACGGGTTTCGCCGATATTGTATTACTGCACGACACAGCTGCGAGAGTTTCGGCTAATCCTTGGGTTTCCAAGCGTTGGTAATGAGATTTACTGCTGTCACTTGGTCCGCAAAAACTTTGGTGTGAATAAACAAATAATGCAAATTAAAACATTTGCCGTCATTCGTCATATGAGATATTGTCTCACGCAATGCTTTGCGAACGTGTAAGTTTTGGGAATATAGGCATATCCGTTTGCAACCTACTTCTGTTTTCGCAAACTGACCTTACGTAACTCAGCTCCTGACACTTGGCGCCAACATTCCTTTTATGAAAAAACGGCAAATGTCCATAAGTGTGGTCTAAAGCTCGGTAACGAACAGTGCAGTACCAAACATTGTTTTTGACCTCATTTACTTCAACTAGCCCTCCGCTGTCGGAATATTTACTTGACTAATGATTTCGGCGATAACATTGAGATGGGATTCTGAATGGTTACACTCCGCGAATTCATACACCAGTGCAACGGATTGCCGCCCTCTTTAATTAGTTTATTTGTTTTAAACCAAATTATATTTCGAGGGTTGGCCAGACACGTTAACTAAGAGACGTTTGTATGCGCCACCGATGGCGACACCAGTAAATGTTTGGAGACGCATGAATGGACAGGATACTCCTGGCTACAGTAATTAGCTAGCACTTTTAGTAGCGAACCGTGTTCAGAATCTAATCATTGTTAAATTCTGAGGTAGACTGTAACCGCTCGCTCAAATTATATATACGGTAGAACCTCGGAATAAGACCCATAGTCAGAGAATCAAGAACTCTTTGTATTTGGAAAAGTACAGACTGCGCAATCGTTTGCTTGTCATTAACTTAGGACTGAATGCATATACAGTGGCAACTATACTTTAATTAACCGTCAGAAATTTGAAACTCAGATGGATTCAGAATTACGCGGTGGAAATAGGCAATGCTGTTAACTAACAGGACCGAATGTCTCTATTACAATCTCCAGTATTTCTACAACCTTTCAAGCATGGAATTCATTCTTGTTGACATTTACAACAAACAAGGGAGCTTATCACACCATAAAAAGATTGCAGATTGTGTCTTGTGGTTCAACGTTGCATTGCTTAACGCAACTTACGTCAATACAGAGAGGCTAATATTTTTCAGGTAAGGTTGTTCCTTCTATTTGTACGATCAATTTAAAAAACACTTCATTCTGAATAAATAGAAAATCACAATGAGGTAGACGTTAACCGAGAAATGTCTGATTTTACAATGGTTTTGGACAAGAAGACGTTAATTTCTAGGGAAGGAGGAAGTCTTCTGAATATGGCGACACAGTCCAATTTGCATTTCAACAAGATTTCGAGAGACTAGAAGAATAGTATTGTCGGCATGATTAATAGGTTGTATTTAATTTCTCTACATACAAGGCAAATAAAATTTTTTGGGTCGACTTAAAAAACTTTTTATTTTTTTAGGGAAAGACCGACATATTGGAGTCAAACAGAAGTTGGTGTAACATCTGGAGTAAACATTAACTTCACTCGCCTGTAAGCATAGCAATTATGCCGTCACTGTTCTCAAGTTTAAAGTTACGAAACTGTCAGGAATTTTATGTAAGTTTGACTTACATAACAGTAACTACAGTACCAGAAGTACATAGAAACTGACAATAGAAGGGTGTCTAACCTTTATCGTATACTACCTTACACAAGTGGAAGTAAGCGCTATACAAAATGTGCCGGTTTTGGAGCCAACTTATCTTGGAAAATCAAGTACGATTGGGTCCACCGGCAAACTAGTGCAGAGTCAAAAGTTTGGCGTCTTCTCAAATCCGTCTTGAAGTAGGTGTTATGGGTTACTTTCTCCCACATATGCTTTGAGTTGGTCGGAACTGCGACTCCACCTACTATTCTATATGGAGCATGGGGATGAACGGCCCCCTATTACGGGCGATCTTGGTTAACCTTCCGGGGTTAGTGTTAGTGGTAGTGTTTGCGTTGGAGTTGGGGTTAAATTTAGGACACGGGACTAGGTACGTCGGGGAATTTAACATAAAATCAGTTGTTTTAGTGGGAGGGTACTCATTCCCGTGTTCAACCTAGTTCTAATGTATAAGTGCGTCTCCTTTGGCATTTTCTTTGTTTCTATTTTCCTTCACATTCGAAACATTGTGTTTTTGTCCCCAAAACTGTTGTGTCTCTATAGTAGCCACTGCCTCTGATGATGGGTTCAAGTGAGATTCCGAAACGTCAGGCGAATAAAGCCCTTGTTCCAGAGGCCACCTCTTCTTCTTATAAAGTAGAAAAAAAATGCTATTCCCAGGCGATATCTCAAAAGAAGAAGAGATGTTCACCAGGAAAGGTTTATTTAAGCTCGGACGTTTCGCTAGTAATTTCGTCTATCCATCTTCAGCGACTAGCCAAAGTCGGTGGTAGCGACCCATGTCGCGCAAATGGAACACATTCAACTTTGACACCGCTGACACCGTAGACAAGGGTGATGGTTACACACCAAGGCAGGTGCAAGGGACCTGGATGCTCACCGACTGTTCAGTCCGCCGCCAGTTTGCATCCCCCATCTGGTTTTGCAAACCTTCTTGATAGGAGACACTGACAGCGCGCAAAAATCCGAGTCGCCAATTCGCCACGGTCGAAGGGAGCGCGAGCAACACAGGTCACAGTGAAAAGGTCAGATTCAGCCCTACGGTCGACATTGGCAGCCCGCGTTTCAACACGAAGGCGACACGTAATGAGAGATGTGCGTAAGGCTTTCTAGTCTTTGGATCTGCGTAGGCGAAATCACTACCCGAAAAACTGAACCCCAAATAAACCACTCTTGGTTGACGTCCCTTCTTCTGACTACCTTGTTTTTAAACAAGATACAACAGCGGTAACTTCTGCCGCCAAGTCGATGGCAAAAGAGATCTTTAACGAAATTACGGTTTTAACTCTAGTTGACAATCGTGCACAACTCTGAAGACGTTTATTCTGGGGGTTTACCGAGTGCTTCAGCTCTTTTAATGAGGAGAAGCAGCAAACGAACAATTTTAGGAAGGCTGCTAGCACGCTGTTGTCTAATGCGGCGCAGCCTCGGTGATCTAAGACGTATTGGTGAGGAATGCTACTGCAACATAAAACCTAGAATAGAATGGTTCTTGGTAAGTCACACTCAAAACCCGAATGTCTTTGCATCCGACATTTGAATCGCAGTCTAGTAGACCATATGCATATCAGTCGATTGCCCTGTCCACCCGAATCTATCTTAAGTCAGGTGTTTTCTTCTTTTCTGCACTTAACCTGTAGGCGATGATCCTACTCAGACTCTTATACTCGTACTTCTGATGTCAATGTTATGTTTGTGGTAAGTACAATCTGTAGGTTTCTTGTTTAAACCTGTGCATTAAACAATCGGTGTCATTAATAAGCGCGTCTGCGGACAAACGCATCAGTAAAAATACCCTAACAGTGCGTAGCTTATAACGGCTTGTGAGAAAATCTCCTCGTCAAACTTTTGGACAGAACGTAGGCGTTCTAGTCAATTTCTTAATAACATGAAATCTAATTATATACGGGCATGTATCGGTAAAATTTGGAAGTTTATGTACAGGTCAGAAAGGACATTAAACGGAAAATTGAAGACAGTGCACACATCACAGGTTCACCCCGCCTTCTCCGTTGGTCTCGGCGAAGCCAGGCATAGAAAGTTCACCGCAGAGACTGGCTGGCGCAAACTGCGATCCTGGACTTTTTCTCTTCAATTTCTGTGCTCAAAGTAGGTTGGCTTTCTAAATAACGACCGTTCCTCCTCGACGATGGCATTGTAAGTGTATCGCCTGACAAGACAATAATGTGAAGCATTTGTGATCGAGGCAACCATTTGCTTGAACCTTAGATAGACTAAATAGAAAAAAGTGATTAATCGTCGCTTTTGGATATCTTGTATAAACACCGTGCAGAGGCAGTTTACTACAGAAGGAAACGTGATAGATCCACAGATTGTAAAGTTGCCTACGGAACTTAAATTTAAATAAAATCTGCGTTTAATGACTCTTGCGGTACCGAAATATGAAAGGCTACGATTTTCCACAACGTATTGAATAGCCCTAACTCCACGTTTTATTTTTAAGCAAACTGCACGTGTTGTTTGACATCAAAGCGTCGAAAAAATAGGTGAGAAGATAGGGCTGAGTAAAATTATACTATATAATACAAGAATTTTTATTTACATGAACTGAATAATCTGTACACAAAAGGCCTTTCAAAGTAGGAGGCTTTTTGATCACGTGTCAACTAACCTTTCACCCATTCATCAAGTATCTAAATCTTTGTCGAAAAAGTGCTTTCAGCTTTGAGTCAAAACCCCTTCTCGGGTTGTCCAACGACGTGAAGTAAAACTCAATAACACATGATGATCAAGTTTGCGTCGGGTATAAGCAAAAGAGAGCTGAAACATAACTTACGCAGTCGCCTCGAGAACACTATACAGTTTCGCCGAATCGCCCGGGTTGAGGCGGTCGATGTCTACGGTGCCATCCTGAAACTGACTCAGTGTGTCGAGAGTTTGTGGAAGGTTGTACAGGTCGCATCGCACGCCTGTATAGCCGGGTTTACAGCTAGGCAAATGGAAGGATTAATGACGGGACATATGGAGCTATTTTATGCAGCGCGTTTGGAAAACATAGTAGAGATCTGAGCACAGGAAACTTCGCATGCATCTGGATGCTTTATAATGCTGATAATGTTTGGCTAGAAGTTGTGCTGTAACGAGAAAAAGGACAAGCAGGTGTCGCGAAAATTATTTATTTTGTTGAAAATTTTAATGGTGAAGCAGGAGAGGTTCTTATACATTCGATCAGTACTTTGGAGGGCAGACAATTAATGTCCGTCCCACTAAGAATACAATATCAATTGCATGCTTATAAATAAGGTGTCGCTCCGATGGGATCTCAGGCTGGCAGTATGTTCACTTTCCGGGAAAACCAATAGAATGTACGCGCACTAATTGCTAATATGGCGCGGAGTATGTTTGATGCGGTACCTAGAAACCCTTTTGCCTAGATTACACATTAGTCTGAATGAGTAATTTGATACAATGCTTTTTGCAATTATAAATGGGATTAAACCTGGTCCGTTTGTTGATATAATACTGTTTCGGTTAAATTTAGTGACTGGCAATGGACGTCAACTATGGCACGCCGTGCAGGAAATTGTCAAGGAAAAAACAGCGGATTTATCAGTTCCCAACCGAAGAGTGCTTAATTCTACTCTGAGATCTTGCGCATACCAAAACTATATAGTTTAAAGACGACATTTAACATTTTGAGGATTTTAGGAGTTAGTTAAGGGTAACAGAGCTCTGTCAATTGCCTCTGCGTCCGAAATTCAAAATGATTGTTGATTAATTTCAACTAATGAAGTACTAAATTAGTGCGTGGGCTTTGTCTAGAGTATTTTGGAGTAAGTTCCAAGGAAGCGAATTTAGATTTGTGTCTTTTAGTTACGTAAGTTTTTTATTATATTTGCCATAAAATTAACACGTCCTGATAGGCACTTCCACAGGCAAAACAATCAAAAAGCAAGTTCCAGGAGACATTAGAGGAAAAGGAGCTGTGGATGCTGGAATAGGACTATTAACTAGGCGGACACGGGAATATGGATATCCCATACCACAGGTGGCCATGCGCTAAATTCCAGAGCGGTACCTGTTCCCATATCCCAACCGTAATCCCCAAGATTTTAACGCAGTAGGTTCATATTCCTGTGCCCCATCCTTTACTGACCAACGGTTTTGATCTCAGTCTAACTCATCATCAGATACGCCTACAGATAACGATGGTGAGACTGCTTGGATAAAACAGTTGGCCACACGGTGGGCTTGCGGATAAACACCGTTTCCATTGATAGTAACAGCGAACCAAGTTGGCAAGTCATCAGCGCACCAATAATCAACGTTGCTGATGAAATCGTGACTATTAACACTTCACATACGGGCGAGCATTCAATCATCTCACTAAGTAGGACCATCGGCCATGATAGAAGCGAACATGAATGTGGGAGCTACTAATTAAGATAGGTAGTGGTTGTATGGCAACCGCAGCCTGTAAATACTGCACCCCTTATGCGTCCATCCCCTTTGTATGTTGCATTCTCTGCTCACAATTTCGAATGAGGTTGCTGAACGTCTGATGAATAAAATGTTTGCCCCGACCTCCGCACCCCCTTCACTTTTGGCATTTACATAATGCACACTTCAATGATAAGACCAAGTTCTGTCAGCAGCAAGCCGAAACCTGTGCCTCATTTTCTTTTCTTTCTTATCCAAAACCACACTGCAAATATGTGTATTTCCTAGTCCACTCAATCTGAATGTAACTTTGGTGGCTGGAGATTTTAATTCCCGCATGTTGGAAAGTGGCGACAAAAAATTGCGGGACAGTGTGACGCCACGTTTTGTCTTCGTGTCGAATGTGCACAGTGACTTGCGAGTAAATTAGTCCATATTAATGCAGAGTTGCGCAGCATATACAGCGCTCCCTCCTCCCCCCCTGGATCCAGTGGCAAGACAAAGTCAGGCCAACTGGAGATGAGCTCGCGCGCAGTGATTGAGAAAGTTAAAAGACCCGTCACTACCTGCCACACATGAACTAGTCTTAAACGTATGCATCAGGCTTTCGTATTGGCACCTCGGATCTCACATCATTTGGAGTGCCATAAAGGAAACCTCACGAAGGAGCCATTACAACCTGACTCTCAGTCCTCGAGTCAGTCACTCCATACGCGCACACGCGCACACACACACAGAATATTGACTAAGAGGGTAGAGTTATCCCGCCATTTGATAACTTTCCAAGCCATGACTCGTAGCGCATCGTGATAGACACACACGCTTCCGACTCAGTATCGTGAGAATTGCGCGACTTGCCAGGGGAACGAATCCTACAGTGTCAACTTTAATCTCTCCCACCTCTTTAATGCACCAGCCGGCTATACGAATCTGTCAGCTATAAGGACAGAAATATTGACAAATACCTTATTTCTAACGTGTAGTTAAGGGACACTTATAGACCAGTGAATCAATATTACGGAACTGGACTGAATAAACAGGAATTTTTGGTGGGAAGCCTGATAATTTAAAATTCCTACAAGCTTAAAACCTCCTTCAATAACCATAGTAAGTGGTCTGTCCAAAATCCCCTGGTTTGTAGCCTGGATTCTATTTGAGATTTCGCTAATAAAACGCAATCATTTGTCAGCTGTAATGTCCACAAAAATGTAGGCTAGATTTTCAAAGGAAATTAGTATTTATAAAAGTAGAGGGTGAATTATTTATGTGCAAGCTTTTACAGTCAGTCAAAAATGATGGGTGAGGATTAGACCCATAGACTGACAAAACTTCATTTCATTGATTCCAAAGTGCAAGAGCTCCCTCTCCCTTTTACATGGACGAAACTCCACCAACACTTGGTAATTATTGTGCAGTTAGAATGTTACAAGGCAGTTTATGCTTGTGGCAAAAAGTGAAATAATAAAGGAAGAAGGGAAAAACAACCCAAACCGTTCCGTCTTCCTTTACAGGCAAAACTTTCAATTCTGTGACTTGGGATTTAACTGGTATGTAGGTTCGGGTTAACACAGACTATCGCATTTGTTTCCTCTCTACGATGTTTTATTTCCACTGTATATCCTTTTGTAAAGGAAAGATTAATATTGGTATCTGATGTTCTCGACGCATCGTTCCTGTATAGTTTGTCAGATCTAAAATACGGCTGTTTGATAAAAATATTCAAGCAAAGCAAAAGTGGCCATAAGGTGATTTACACCTTTTACTACATGATTAATACAAATCCAACGAAATGCCATTATTGCTACCTATCATCTACATGGACGAAGGCCATTTAAATGTTTCATCAAGTGAATACAAAGTGTTTTTGGCAAAAAAATAATCTCTCGATTGCAATATTAACCTACGTTTAGTTACACTTGCACATGCAACAGTTTCTACGAACTTACTAACACACTGCTGCTTCCAAGACCTTTACAAACATGCAACTGATGGAATTATAGCAATACTCCGCATAGACACCCGTGCAGTTGACCAGTGGTGATCCGAAGCTATTCTCTCTATAGGTTGGATCCAGATCCGCAGCCGAGACTGAGTCCATTGTCTCATCCAAATCGTCGTCACCACTATTATTTTCTCTTACCAAGCTGGAGTCCCACACTTCCACAGGCGGCGCTACAGAGGTGACACCTTCAATGGTCTTTGATTTATTTAGGTCTCCCATGGCCTTATTTGCGGAAGCGTGTAGTTCTGCTGGAGCCGCTTCCGTAACAGTACTCTCCAGAGGCTCGGCTGATGAGGTTTGTGGTAGAAATTCTGTCAGTATTGGTAGTATGGCAGGCGACGCTGACGCAGATAAGGGTCCGTCTTTTACCGGCTCCGTTTCTCTGACTCTCTCTATCGTCTCCACACTTCTTTTTTTACGAATTCTGGCGTAAAACGGCGGCGTTTTGTTGAAACCAGATTTTAAGTAAGCGGATTCACTCCGAAACTTCTGTGAGAGATAGCAGGGAATCCGATAAAGACACATATCGGTGTGACATCGTTTTCCTGCACGCAGCTTCTGTTCCTTGCGAATCCTTTTTAACAACCAGCCAAGCCAGCCTTCGTCGTGTTTCAGAGTTGAGATAAAGGAATTAATAATCTCGTTAATAGCCACCTCAATCTCCTCGAGAGGTTTTAACTTCTTCACAAACACTCTCGTACTGTCATTTTCAACAGTCGCAGTTGCATACGAACTGCACAAGCTCTCCAACTCCTCATGCGGTTTCTCCAAAGGGATTTCGTCTACAAAATGGGTACTAGAAGGCGATGGTGGAACTGAGGGGAACTTTCTTGGGGTCGGTGTGCGTTGTAAGCTGACGGAAACATCAGTGATGCTGTCATCCAGCTGTGGTGCTGGTGGTGGCGGTGTGTATTCTTGCGGAGATAGTGCTTTGGGCAACTCCGATAGAGGACCGTGGGAAGCATTCAAGATACCATCCTGTACTGTGTGCACTGCAAGTTTGTTCGCTCGCATTTCAATGGTGTTCGGATGTGTCAGCACGGAGGCCCTTATGAGGACCAGACAGAGAAGCAGAAGAATAATTAGCGGAGTGAGGCAACAGACCAAACAATGACATATAAATCTCATTTTGAGCGACCTCCGCGGTAGTCGAATCACGCGAATAGGCCTGATTTCAGTTAAATTTAGCCAGCTGTGCGTGTCCTCGACTTCGACTTTGTAGTGAACAACAGGGTCAAGAACAAGTGGCTGGTAGACGTTAACCGTCTCGAAGATGGACTTTAAATCAGCAGGATCACCGTATTGCATGGCTGGTTCATTATGTGTTTCACAAATAAAAGCGGCTAGACTTGAATACTGGGAAGTTTCGCTTACACGCAATGGCTGCCTGTCTACTAGAAGGCGCTCTCATTTTGCGCGCATTTATGAAGCGGACACGCCAAAACCGATGCTAATAACTGACCTGGCCATTGGTTCACGCGCCCAAACGATGAGGGTGCCGTCCATACTCGCTTTGGCCTTCACTGCCGCGCTGATTGGCCTGGCGTAAAGAAGGAACGCTGCACTTACGCGGTCTACAAACTAAAACAAAAGTCCCTATACTAACAGTTCTTGTTTTCCGACATGGCAGGAAAAATATTGGCTTGATCATGTGCTGTTTGTAGCTAAGAGTTATGAGACCTACCGAAACTTTTGAAATGACGACAAGGCAGGCATAATTAACTTTTCATCGGACTTGTAACAATAAAAAGCTGGCTTTATACAAAATAGTCAGGGTGCCAAGGACTGGGCTGTAATTTGGAGTGTACACCTGTTCGTAGTAGAAAAACATAAAAGTACAATAGGTGGTCTAAGTTAGGGCGACACCCGTTAAAGATTTATGAACATTTAGACCAAAAGAGATCACATATTTTTAGGCTTATTGCTAACGATTAGTAAGGCATGCCTGTTTAAAGTAATACACGATACAATTAGAAAAATTTGAAATCCCAATCCCTATCAAAATGGGAGCTGTTTTTGAAGGAGCCGGTGTTGTGTACGAAACATGATCCTCCAATTTATAGGCACAGTTTGCTTTAAAACTACTGTAGTCAACTGGTCTTCACGACAACCAGTTAGACGGTGGTTTAACACGACATTTTACCTAGGTTCATGTCAACAGAATACTAATTGTGCAGTCAATTAAGGAAACAGGACATCTTTTTATTACCTTAATCCGCAACTGCGTTTGCTTTTATGACCGACGGAAAGGAGGTTTCTTAGAGGCAATAGCAACGCTTTTACATTTACAAGGTAAAGGATACTGTGTCCGTTCCATGTAAGTGCCGTACGACTGTCTGAACATATAAGGCCAGATAATGTCATTTTTATTATTCTTGTTGTGAGAGATTTGACTTACCTTAGAAGTAAATCTCAGAATCTGCAGAAAAATGTTTTTGGGAATTGGGTCTCCTTAACATCATGGAAGTTTGTCTTTGTTTATGTAGTTTCATATTATTCCTACAGAATTCGAGCATGTTTTTGGATAATAGCCGTTCTTGGAAAATTATTTTATGGGCCCTTCGAAAAATGCCTCTATCTTACTTAATAAAGATCACCTTTGACTTTCAAAATAAACATCTGACTGTCAGGCTTAAAAGCATTTTATTTTTTTGCAGATGCGGTCAATACGAGTCAAAGTTTGCATGAGAAAGCAACTTTTTTTGTTTTTTTTTAGGCCTATCCATTCAAATAAACATTGTTTTGGCAGGTGCCCTTGACTTTATAACGTTTGCCTACTATGTCGGTGAGCCATTGAGCTTGTATATACAATCTGTCTCCCTGATAAGGAAAGGTTACAAATGCTTCCTATCTTCCAATATTCAGAGTGATTTTCTAGTACTGTACTATCGCTATGAAGGGAAAAAATCTTATTTGTACATATGCAAGTATTATTTTCAAGAATGAGGAAAAATATTCTAAGAATATCTTCAGTTGTCAAAGAAACTCATCAGAGAGAGAGTTGTTTTAGAAGCCCCTTTTGTGCTTCTTTGCATTAGACACATATTACTATTTTTTTATATTCGTTCGGTCAGGGGCTTTAAGGTTTGGTCCGAATGAATATTTTAGCAAACTGATTGTTGATTTAAAATGTCCACTTTATTCTGGATAATCGAAAACTGCGCAGATAAAGTTTTAAAGCAAGACGTTTCCAATGTACTTTAAGAGCTTTACAGTGTTAGAAGATTCTAGCGGTAAAAATAGGTCCTCCCTGCAAAAAAACAGAACCACAAACCATGTTTTACACTGGCTCAGTTTACTGACAAGATGCTGTCCGGACAAAATTTCATATCTAGTATAACATATTGCATTCGGAAGGTATTCAATCACCCTTAGTCGGTTATTTCAAAAAAACAACTAAAAATAATTTAAGTTATCATACTGCCAGGGAGGATTTTAATGCCTGAACTTGAGGAAGAATTTGCTTCCAGTGCATTTCTACATTTTTCATTTATTTTGGTTTTTACTCTGTCTAGGTAATTTCATGCTCCCACCGACATAACGGAGTTTATAAAGGCTAACTTATTACGATTAAATAATTTCCCATAAAACTTGCCACGTTATTTATGCAGCATTCCAAACCCATGAACAGGCACCTTTTTGGAGCCATAGTTTTATGCCAAATAAGTCCCGGTGGGAAGTCAATACATTTCCAAGTAATTACGAAAGTCGTTCTCGGTCGCATAGTCCGATGCATACCATCGGCTTAATAGAATAACTAAGTTCCTTTAAGTCTCGCAAACAAGTAAGGTTTTTTAATGATTTATTTCAAAAGTTAGAGTTAAAAGAGATTAAAATTCTCGCAAAATCATGATCCATGTTGCCACTGTTTTAATCCATAACGCTTACGCTCATTTAGATAGTGAACTGGTTTGCCTCACGATCAACTGTAGTATTATGCTACCAAAAGCATTCAACCTGCTACGCGGTTCGGGTTTCAACTAGCAAACTCTTTCGTCTGAAAAAACAAAGACAACTTGTTGATGCGTAGGGAGCACGATGTAACATAGTTGGCACTGTATCTATAAGCTCAAATTCCAGACACGTTTTTCGCCAATATTCTGTCGCTGCATGACACGGTTGGGGAGCTTTGGCTCGTCAGTGGGTCGCACACCGTTCTCCATACGTTCTTCTGGTAAATGCCCCAGTTTTGAAATTGCGGCCTTTTAACTTCCTAAAAAAATAATTGATAACCTGAAGCAATTCAGTCTATTTGAGACTAAGAGACTAAGATTGAAATTTGATATGAATATTCGGGCCAACGTACATCAGCCACTATTGAACACGATATAATTATGCTAAATCCTTGCAGAGTTTTGTAGAATCTTCAACAGTAAAGAGTAGTCGGAGCAAGGCGACCGTAGTCCCAGTTTTATTCGACCAATTCTGAGACAAGCATACTGCGCGGTAAAGTTTAGTTATACGATAAGGAATAAGGCGATCCATATACTCAAAGTCCAAAATAACCACAGGACTATGGCGACATGCACTATCACTGCGTAGAAAATAAAAACAATTAAGGAATACTTGTATGATCTCTTAAGTTGGACATGAGAATAAGAATGTCCCGTATACATAATACGGTGGCCTTACGCAGGAAGGTTAGGTATTTCCGTGTCCCAACTCCTACACTAGCTGTAACATAAACCCAAATTATAACCATAATTTGAACCCCAGCCCCACCTTAAGCCCTAACTCTGCAGTCAACACTAGCGCTAAGCCCGACTTACCTGAACGCTAAACCTAAGCCTGACATTAAGTCTGGCCCTTAACTTTAATCTAAACTTAATTCCCCCAGAATCTGGACTTCAACCATCTGTATTGCGGGCGGCTCCTGTACTCATGTCTTGTATAGGGAACCTTGTGAATAGTCCTTATCATAAAATATAATTCTTTAGAAGCCTTATTTCAGAAACCGACTCTCTAATCCTCGGCGCTTAGATGGGCGGCACGAACGTGGATGATATGAATATTTGTATCAACCTTGAGCTTTGACTTATGAGCGGTGACAGTAACATCCTTTTAATATACAAAAAATAATTAAGCTTGCCAATCACTACCGATAATTTCGGTGGCAAAAATTACGACTTTAGTATTTCTAGCCCATCGCGCACACACTCAACTAACAGGAAAATGTAGACATCATTGAATATGAGTCTACACCGAACGCACAGTTCCCCTCACAATGCCTGCTGGTCCTTGAAATGCTGACATTCGTCTGTAGAGGGGCACTGAGCGGAAACACTGATCGTTCCTCCTGCTTAATTTTTACACATGGGAGAAGCGTAATATACAGTGGGTGGGTCATTTTATGAAGCGCTAACCAAAGTTTTAAAATGTGCTTGCGTTAGAAAAATAACTTGGGTGGGGTTGTAATTTTATTAGCGGGCAACGCTATCCCAAATTATTTTGATCAGACCAGGATGCCAGCTTCTCGATGATTTTTTTTGGCTATTTGCATAAACCACTCAGTAGACAGTGCCAACTTAAGCGGTATGAATTCTTATTCATTTTCAGTGACCTTATAAATTTAAGACGACTGTTTCATATAAAACAGGAGTAAAAATATTCTGCTTGTACTAATATCGTTAAGGAGTGCATCTTCTTCAGTTTTGTGCCTGACAAAAAATGTCTCTTTTGCTTTCAAAAAATTTTAATTGGCGAATAATTCTGAACCAAGTCTCAGCTTCACTTGCGCTTAAGGTCCCAAACCTCCGTACTGCATGAGTTCTGCGTGAGGAAAATCATGTATTTCTCTGCGTGATTAAGATGTCATTTAGAGCTCGTGCAATTTTTCAGTGAATATAAACCGTGGTATATTTTAACAGGCATAATTAACAAATGTACCGATGCGATACTGTATAAAATACATTTCAGTTCTAAAAAACTCATCATAAGTACGTTTTTTAAAACCAAAAGAAACTTTTTTCGAGTGCAAAAATTAAAAACGAAATTTCTTATCATATAGGTATAAGAAGTAATATTTTGTGCATGTTTTATATGAAATATAATTGAATTTACAGTAAAATTATAAATAAACTGACAAATTTTACGTTTCTTTAGTCTTTATCCCTTACCGAGTGGGCTTTAAGCAGATGGCTAGGAAGAAGCTTATTCGGATGTTGGCATCCTGGAGTGAATGAAGTCTTTTTGAATTACGTTGCACGACAGCCTAAATCACAAACTTGCCCAAGTAATCTTTTCTAATCAAAAACATACTTTAGATCGCCAGTTTGCATTTCATGAAGTAGTCCACCTATGTATCTATT